CTGTCAAAGTAAAAGGTTAGTAGTTGTCGTCTTCTGAAACTCATAGGTTGTCTGTCTTTTATTAACAGGAAATATACTTGGTGACCGAAGCTGACAAGAGAGGCTGGCAAAAGCTAGCGAGGGAGAAATACCCCGGAGCGTTGATCTTCCACGACAGTAGATTGGCCGTGGGACCCACCCCTCTCGAGGGCGTAGCCATATTGATGTGGCTTCCGTATTCGATAATTCTCGCGATTGTCAGGATTATCGTGACGCTGTCCCTCCCGCACAGCATCTCAACTCCTCTGCTCACCTTCTCTGGGCTGCGTCTCACGGCGTCATTGCCCACGAACTCGGCCCAGATGTCCTCCAAAAGCGAAGGCCGTCTTTATGTGTGCAACCACAGAACTCTGCTAGATCCTCTCTACCTGTCTTTTGTGCTCCAGAAGAAGGACTTGATCGCCGTCACGTACAGCTTGAGTAGACTGTCGGAGATATTAGCGCCCATCAAGACGGTGCGTTTAACGAGGAACAGGGATCAGGATGCGAACATGATGAAGGAGTTGGTAAAGCAAGGGGACGTAGCAGTGTGCCCGGAGGGGACCACGTGCAGAGAGCCGTATTTATTGAGATTCAGTCCTCTGTTCTCAGAAATCTGCGACGAAATAACACCCGTTGCTATTGATAGTCACGTCAGCATGTTCCACGGTACAACCGCAGGAGGATTTAAGTGGCTAGACCCGGTTTTCTTTCTCATGAACCCGTCCCCAGTTTACTCTCTTAAGTTTTTGCAACAGGTCTCTCCGCATCCTTTACCTCTGGCGGTGACGAGGATCCGAGATTCCAGGTCGCTAATCACGTGCAGTCTCAGATTGGGGAGGCTCTGGGTTTTGAGTGCACCAAACTCACCAGAAAAGACAAGTACTTGTTGTTGGCCGGTAATGAAGGCCTCGTTTCTAACCCAACCAGGCGGTAAATGGCTGGTACTCGTGGGGACAGGGAATTAATGATAAAACATGGGTTTTATTAAAAGGACGCAAAATAAAAGTTGCAAAACAGATTATAGTACACGTAGAAGAAAGACCCTTCCTCTGGTAATCACAGTTATCTGTCATCGTATTTTGTCGGCAAACTGCTCCGAGGGCAGGTCTCTTTCTTTTTTGGTCTCCTACCATTTTCCTCTTGTGCGGCAGCATGGAGCATGATTGGTTCTATTCCATTCCTTCTTGGGGTATTTTTTGCCCTTATCTTACAATTAATGTACGTAGCTATCCACCGTGCAAAACACCCTTTACTTCTTGTACGTGCTTTTTTCTTGTCAAGCACAGTACAGATACAAAACAGGAGCCCCGCTGTGCCGCTCATCTCTTACATTACCTCTTTTCCTTTTTTTCCCTCTCTAATCAGGCTTAATTCAAGAATGCCGCAAAATAGGAGTTGTTTTTTTTTCTCATGTAGGATGAATTCATAATTTTTAAACAATACATGCACATGGATTTCCCTGCAATTAAAAAAAAAAGCAGTGAAAGGCTTATAAGTTGGGGTTATGTAAAAATTTGATGGTCTAATATAGTCCAGTTCAACTTAAATAAACCCGGTTTAGAACAATTGGCACGAAGTAAAACTGGACTTGTTGAGCTCGATTGGATTGGGGACTGACCTCTTAGACCAATTGGTCCAGTCTAGTGTGACCCGAGTTTTTTATTTTTTATTTTTTAAATATTATTTATATAATTTAAATTTGTTTTAATTCTTTTATATAAGTTTTTGGTCAATTTAGATAATAAAGACTTATCTATGAACTTCCTAAGTGATGAGCATTTGTATATATTTTCTTCAATATATGATCTATATTGATAAGGATTAATAAATGAAACATGATATTAGTGGGAAATTAAAAGGGAGTGATCAAATTTGATGAAGTTTTAATCAAAACACGTGTAAAATTTTATATGGTAAGTTGCAGTCTTATCTCTAATTTAAAAAAATTAAAAATTAAAAAGATGATATGGATTGCTTGGACCAAGTCCAATCCAATCCAATCTCATATTGGCATTGGACCAGGCTAGACCGTGTGTTGGTATTGGATTAGACTAGATCTTGAGCTGTCTCTTTTATCTCGAGATCCTTATTAGATTAGATTTTGAGCTGGTAGCAAATTCAGTCCAATCTCATCCATACACACCCATGTTATAAAAACCACGTGCCATGCTTTGTATATATCTGAAGCAACAGCCTGCTGTTTTCTAAACCAGTTGTGTGTATAAAATCACAGGAGAGGGTCAAGAGAGTAGTTTGATACTAATTATTCTAGTCAGGGGATGAGCTAGGTTGAAAATAGAAGCGTCATTAGCTTGGAAATCGTCATTAGCTATGGTACCTATTTACTAATACACTGTTATATCGCGTGTTATTAGATCAAATTAATTCAATTAATTAAACTAAAGTGAAAACTGAAATTCTAAGCTGGACTTTCTCAATGGACACGTGGATCGCGTCATATATATATTTAAATGATTTAATTGAATGTGAATATGAATCCAATATTCATAATTCAACGACATTTAATTAAAATATCTAAAAATATTGCAGTCATGCAATTATGTAACGAGAGAAAAGAACAAGAGTTCAAAAGGAAAAAGAAGCAGGGGAACAAATTGCACGACCGCACGATTTTAAAGAGTCCATGTACGAACTGTAGAGGGAGGAGGGAATACCGCTGCCGGAAGTTCAAACCGACCTTGGACAAGCCTTAGGATACGGACAAAAACTTTGTTTAATCTACGTAACCAATAGAAGAATTTTCAGATTTTTATTTTCCTTTGACTGTATCTTTTTTAAGTTACTTTATGACTCGTCTCTGTTTGGTCCGCGGGTGACGTGTAAAACGGCTCTTTTAAACCAAAGTAGTTCCGTTTTGCTCAAAAAAAAAAAAAAACCAAAGTAGTTCCATGGATTCTTTTGTTTTTTGGACGGAAAGTTGCAATGGTTCAGACAGGCTGCATCCCGATCATGAACAATTAAATGACGCTCCCTCACCCCATAAATTAATTTCAAGAGCTTTGGTATACCCAAAAAAAAAAATCAAAATTCAAGAGCTTTGTAACTAAATTTCGTAAACTCAAAAAGAAAAAGGGCTAAAAATAATAAATAATTTTTAAAAAATTATACTCTTTTATCAAACCCATCTTTAGTCGATTCTGTCGACACGGTGAGATAATGGTTAGGCTCTATTTTATCAAATACTCTAACATAGAGTGTAATAGGGGTGTACTTAATAAATGGCTCATAAATATTTTTTTGGCCAAAATGGCTAATAAATATTGAGTCGTAATTTGCAAAGAGCTTTACATTTAAGAACAAGAGGATGGATGGCAAAAAAAAAAAAAAAAGACAGAAAGAAAAATGTCTTATATTTAGGATTGAAAAGAATGTGGTGTGATTTTTGTCTTGTTTTGTTAACATATACGCGTGTGTATATATATAGATGTGTGTGTGTGTGTGTAAAGCTAATTTAAGCACTTATCGGCAAACTGATGACAACATGATCCTATGTAGCTGCAACCCGGTAAAAGAAGAGAATTCTTAGAATGTACCTCTTTCATTCCTTTTCTTTTTAATTACAAGATAAAGTTTACACATATTACTAAAACTAATCGATGATGACGACTATGTAATTTTTCCAGAAATATCCTTCTTTAAATACTCTACTTTCTCGCATTCTCTCTTTATTAATTAATTAAAATGACTACTTTTCACTGACGTTTTTCAGGAAAGAAAAAAGTATTAATGATTGTCTAAATTTTGGAAATTGTCTAATAAATAAGAATAAGAGCACCAAAAACTCGTAAGCATTTTTTTATAAAAGAAGGAAAGAAATATAATTAATATGAAAAAGATTTTTTTAAATAAAGAAGAATAAAGAGTATACATTGAAAAAAGGAAAAAAAAAAAACGCAGGGATGTGTTGGCATTTGATAGTTCAGATAAGTTATTAACTCGTTGCTGGAGATTTCGTGGACGTGCCGGCGTCATTAGAGATCTTACCTACCTGTTTGAAAAATAGACTTTAGTAAAAATGAGTACATGAATCGTGGAGTTGGAATGAGTATTGCTTATTTTTTCCGTAAAAGAATGTGTTGGGTTCAAAATACAAGTCACCCATAGAGTGTAATTAATATATATTTGGTAGTTTTGTTCTTACAATTAATATTTAAACGTACGGTAATTCCTTATATTTTTCTATCTCAAATACTATTTCATGTAACATGGGTAAAATTGTGAACAGCTTTGAAGTTAACTACCCTTTCTTAGTTATGGTGAATTAATTAAGATGACTATATTATGGACAATTAGGAAGTATTATTATTGTTACGAAGTATTTTGACTATTTGGAGGCCTTGAAATTAATTTGCGGGGGCCTCGAAAATTACAAATCTGGTGGAAACACGTATTTGAAAACAACAACCGAGTGCATTTGAAAGCTCAGGAAAGTGAAAACAGGCACATGCAGGGCGTTTATTCGAGGAGGGGTGGCGGCCAGCTGGAGCTTAATTCATCTGCTTTCGCTGTACTTCCCAGTAAGGGACTTGCAAAAGAGTGCGCGCCCCTCTCATTTAAAAGCCCTCCCACTTGATGGATGCTTCATTTCTCGCCACTGCCCTAAATTTCACGTTCAGTGGGACTACCTCGAGCGCTGTCTACTTTTCTGCTGGAGCACCACCAAGCCAGGATTTTATATTTTCCCATACAGCCAGCAGAAGCCACGGATCAACACGTATTCCCTCTTGCACTTCTCTATATCGTCTCTTTTATTTCTTTCTTGCTTTTTTTCTTTTTAAACATAAACATGCATGCTGGGAATTCTCCAATATTTTATTTTCCATGTGCACCTCTATTTAATGATTTCCCCTCCAACTCCCAAGAAAGATTGTATCCTCATATAGTAACATTTAATTAGGGCTAAATTTCTGGGGAAAACATTTAATTAGGAGCAGAGGGAGTGCCATCTATTCATTGACATACGTAACAGGAACAAACTGATATCTTTGAACTGACGCCTCAGTATTTAATTATGCTTATCTCCCGTCAAACTTCGGTACGCTTCATCTATTTCCACCTGTTACATTCACAATAATTCATCAACCCTCTCTCTCCAACTAACTAATACAAGAGTGAGAAACACAACATGACATTTATATATATATATTTACCTGGTAATACTTAAGCAAATTATTTCTTCTCTTTTTCATTGTTGCTGTCACCAAGTCTCTTTCCACGTCAAATGGACGCGGCTCTAATATTACTCCTTTGATATGTTCAAATCCTTTCAGCTAGTTCCCCACAGACACAAACGTCGAAAAGAAAATGAGAAGGAAACACATTGCCACGCCAGTCTTAAAATGACAGAACTAGTAGTCCATTACTGGTTATGTTACTACTCTCAATGTCAGATGCTGTGGTTACCTTGTTTCTCTCAGCAATAGATTTGAGCTCGGACAGCACGTATTTCTTCAACTGGTCAAGGGAACAGAGTTCAGAAAAAGAAGCCATGTGACCTTTTGAATATGCCCACTTTTTTGTAATTTCTTCATTTGGAACCACTACCGCCACCAAAGCTGACTTGAAGCTATTTCCATAAACCCAGATCTGAATGGAAAAAAGAGGGGGAAATTGATCATAAACTTGTTAGCAGTCCCGGGGCTGAAATCCCTTTCTCAAACAGGAAACATGAAGACATGCTTACATCTTCAACAATGGGAGTGATTCCATAAACATTTTCCAGATACTCAAGTGCAATATACTCTCCTTGAGAGAGTTTTATTAGATTCTTCTTCCTGTCAATAACCTTGATGACACCGTTAGGAAGCATTTCTCCTATGTCCCCTGCAGATATACCAGAGGCGGACAAATCAAACTGCGTGCACATCAATCATAATTCAGTCTGAGGCAAGACATGAATGGCTACCTGTGTGAAACCACCCATCTTTAGAGGCTTCTCTAGTCAACTCGGGATTTTTGTGGTAGCCTGCAAAAACAGATTTGCCTCTCACACATATTTCGCCACATGAAGGACTTCCAAGAGGACTATAGCCCATCTCTGGAACTTCCTCCAACCTCAATTCGCTGTACACATTCACGACACCAGCTGTGCCCATCATGCACATTTCATCAATATAGCAAAGAGTAGCTGATCCACACGTTTCAGTTAATCCTGGATTGACCACCATCAGGGTTACATTGAGTTGCAAAATTATAATGTGCCCTAACAAATCCACGTGTTAATGTACTCTAAATGCTTGATAATTCATATCAGTAAATTGGCCGTGGCTGTTTCACACAAAAGAGAACAAAGGAACAGAAAGTAGAGTCATTTACCATAGCCTTGACATACGAAGGCACAAGAAGTAACACGCAAGAATTCTTCCACCTCAGAGCTCAAGGGTGCACCTCCTGATAATATTAGTCGAATACGCCCACCTAGACGAGCATTGACCTAACCAGGAATTGAGGTTCGTAAGGGGGAAAGGACTAGTACTTTAGAGTTCTAACCCAGATGGTTAAAGCATCAATTATGCAGATTCGACAAAGACAAGCAATGTGGCAAGAGGGTAGATATATAACCTTCCTGAAGGCTAATAGATCTGCTAAAGGTGATGCATTTTTCTGCTTGTACCCTTTGTTCATCCAATAAAGTTTGCTGTATGGCATACATGTAAATTAGGAGAGTTATATCCGCCTACAAACTATGCGTCGAACAAGTGAGCAAGATTCTATGACTCTAACGTCAACTTACTATCTGTAAAGCAAGTCAAAAACTCTTCTCCTCACTGGATTCAGTTCTTCAACTGCTTTCTTGATACCTGAAACACTGATGGGCTTGGCTAAGTTTTATTGAACTGAAACAAAAAGAAGCAACAGATTTTCTCATGATGCGTAATCTTGCCTTCGTGGACTTTTTCAAAAACTCGTGGGACCCCAGCAAAGAGCGTGGGCTTCAACTCCATTAAATCATCCCTCAATGCCTTCAGATCCTGCACTCAAGTGATTCAAGAAATTCGCAAAGATTTTTCAAAGGGATTGGCACTAAATTGTCAAATTCTGAAGCAGATGGGAAACTATGTAGTGTTATAGTGTAGGAAGATTATGAGTTTCTAAGTACAGATGAATCTTGATGAAGGAACTCTACGGTCTTCAAGGGGAGTTTACCACACACATATATCATGATCAACAATCATACCGCAATTCCTGCCAAGAGTCATGGGAGCATAGTCCTGGCACAGTGGCCCGTAACATAAGATTGCTAAAACGTCAAACCATCGCTCTTATTTATTTACCACACTATGCACACACAAACACACTTTCATTTGTGTCATGAAAAGAGGCTTATTACTCTCTCTCGAACAGCAATCACGAGAAATTGTTGCTATCTACATTTTAGCATCTATCTTTCCCGTATCTTACTCTTGTTAACGATATAACCAGGTAACTCCAAACTTCCAGTACCCAAAAAATTCTGAGGTGCACGTACCCCATGGTAGTAGCCAACAGAAGCACCCTTATGGAAAAAGTATTCCTCAATTGTTCGATCAAGGGAATGAGCCAAGGGGAGGAATGATAAATACACATCTTCCTCAGTCATCTATACATAGTGAAATAAATCCGTGAGAAAAAATAGAGGGGAAGGGGTAAGAACCTAATGCAAATAAATTTAACTGCGTAAGATTAATTGATAGAGGTCTTCTCTAAATTTATACTAGTAGATGATTACATTTTTACCCATAACCTACTTGAAAGTGTTATTGCCATACCAAACAAATCACAACGAAAACATCGCAAGTCACCATGGTATTATTTTGAGCACTAAGAAAGAGAGAATAGAAATTATGGCATACTATTTTGCTGGTGGCTCAAGCATTAAGAATACCTTTTCTTCAAATTGTTCCAAGAAAAGATCCATTCCTCTTACAAAAGACGTTATGTTTTCATGTGTTAGAACAACACCCTTAGGGTCTCCACTGGTCCCACTTGTGTACATTATTGTGCAGATGCTTTGAGCTTGAGGTTCTGAAATGCTCGATGGGTTTTCCTTTCCCTGTACGATGCAAAGTTTAGATAAGCCATTGAAGCATGAGAAATTTACATCAATGGGATAAGTAGAACCGTTATAAGATCAAATTACTGCACTATAAGTGGGATCATAACTTAGTTACCGAAATAGTCAATGACATTATGACAAGATATAAAGCTGACCCACAGTTATAGTGCAGATAACAGTATCTGTTTATATGACATGAAGATGTCATGTTACAGAAGTTCATTCCATATCGAGTGCATGAATGATGTTATATGATGTCAAATTCCTTGCAGACCAACCATGTCCAAGAACTCGGCCCATGAATATGGCTTAATTTCAATGGACGCTGCCTTGTCTTTCTCTTCATTTGTCAATGAAGTGAAGCACACCATGGCTGCAATTCCACAAGCACATATTTTAGACGCCTCCTGTTAGCTATGTGGCGGAGAAATGCTGGAAGTAGCTACTTTTACCTTTCAGTTGCTGAGTCGATTTGCAGTCAGGGTTCAAAAGCTACAGGTAAGTGTAGTTATACAGTCAGAACCCCGTTGCCTGTCAAATATGAATTCGTTTGGAAAAGAAAGTTTTTCTTCATAAGAAAGTGATTCTTACTTCTTTAAGCTTCTTATCTTGGACAAAAACAAAATCTACTTCTGCATGATCTATAATAAAGTTTACAGCGCCAGAACCTGCATCAATGTTTAGTTTGTTTCCAATCAATAAATATATCAAAATTGATCATATATGTATATATAAATATATATAAGCACCAGGAGCCTTTTTCAAGATTTAAACATGAATAGAGTCATGCTAGGATCTTTTGGATGGCTACTAATAGCAGAAAAACAATGAAGCAGCAGCTTACCAAGTGTGTCGTAGAGAGGCACACAAACCAAACTGTGGGCGCAACAAGCCTATATGGGCGTAAAATACTCATATAGCATCATGAAAAGAAAAAACATTGACAACTTTAAAAGGACAACGCTTATTAGGGAAGTGCCAAACCTCCATTGCCACAACCCATTGTGGGCAATTAGATCCGTAAACTCCAACTCGAGAGCCCTATCACAGAATTTCCACGAGATACATGGAGAAAATATCTGTGTGAATTCTAACGTACAATATGTGAAACTGACGAGAGAAGCCTCTTGAAAGTACTTACGGGTTCAGCCCCTGATGCTCGCAAAGCAGAGCCAATATGAAGAACTTCATCGTAAACTTCCTTGTATGTCTTCCAGACGTATGGTCCTATCTATTAGACAAGAAGTCAAAATTCAGTGATCACATCTTCTTGACATCGACAATTAAAGAGGAAAAAAACTTGGCTACGCAGATACCTTTCCATCAACAAATTTTCGAAATCCCAGCATCCGGTTTTGAGGATACTTTCTGACTGACACACTACAATCATCCAGGAAGGCGTGGGACTTCTGTCAGTCACCAAATGTCTTAACACAGAAAAACAGAGCAGGAGCCGTTGCCCAAGTGGCCTATTTTAAAGTCATTTACCATACACATGGGCCATCATGTGACAAGGGAAAATGAAGGATTTTGAGGTACTGAAGTTACCTGAAAATATCCCAAGCAGTGCATAGTTCTGGATCCATTGGAGGAAAGCCATTTTTTGATAGGAGATTACGGTATGCTGGTCCAAAGGATGGCTTGCCATTCTCGCCTTCACCTCCTTCCTCAACCTTAGCTGCAAAAGTTTTCATCTTCCTTGTTTGCGAATCCGAACAAGATAAACGCACAGTCGTGGATGAATTACCGTTTACAAAGGTGCTTTATAGCATGCTGGCTCACAGATCCTTGAATTATAAGCCAAGTTGGATTCTAGTTGTAGAGTTTAAAAAGAATAAACTTGAGAGAAAATATCGAGAGTTAATCTGATAAAGTACAAATAGTAGTATCTCAAACATGGAAATAGCAAAATAGAAGCATGGCTGACCCAAGGGTCTCACTGTCAACGTTATGTGCCTTCTAGTATTTCCTAGTATTGCTTCCGGCCCTATATATAAAAACTAGTTGATTAGTTTGAGTAAATTAAAAAAATAAATTAAGTTAGTTATTTATTATAAATAAGTATTGCCTTTTCTAAAATATCCTTGATAATCAAGTTTATTGGCTGGAACTATCATTATGAGAAGGATTATTTTGAAAAAAAGAAAAGAATAAATATGAGAGACAAAGTGAATTGAGATCTTATATTTAGGACCAAAATAAAAATCAAACAAGGTCTTATATTAAGAACTTGAAGAAGTACTCCTCCGGTTTAAGGGTCTTACATTTAGGACCAGAGGAATATTAAATAACACGCAAGTATAGGAAACATGGTTCTGAGCCACCGGATCAAAAAAGAAACAAGCAGCAACGGCAGTTTTGTTCAAAGAATGCAATTTGCGACCACAATAATACTTGAATACACACACACAAAGGTTGAAAGCCCACTGAAAAATCCAAGAGAGCGAAGCATAGCAACCAAATAGGAAGAGTGGTGAGGAAATAAGTAGAGAGCAACTACAACTATAAAGCAACGAAATTCTCTAACTTGATAGTCCACAAGAGAAGCATGTTGGACAAATTAAAAGGGTGAGGCATCAGAATCCCAGCCGGTAGGCATATAGAATATGACAGTGAATGGATCAGAACTAATTCTGTAGTATTATTACAATGAACGCAGGAATCGCAGGGTGTTTAGTATTTATAATACAAGTGGCGTGTAAGCCAACTTGTCTCAGCTCGCCGGCTTGTCGCTTTCACTATACTACTTTCAGTCCTAAATATAAAAGTTAGTTGACTAATTTGAAGAGATTAAAAAAATAAATTAAATTAATTATTTACAATAAATAAATGTTATCTTTCCTAAAATATTATTACTAATCAAATGTATTGGTTAGAACTACTATTATTAGAAGGACTATCTTGGAAAAAAAATATACAAATATGAGAGACAAAGTAGATTGTAGTCTTATATTTAAGATCAAAATAAAAGTCAAACAAGATTTTATATTAAGAATCGGAAGTATTATATCCCAATATATAATCACGCCCAGCCAGCAGACGTGCAAGCTTATAGGCGGACATGCGGAGACGAGTTTCGGCAGTAAGAAGGGAGGCGAGTTTCTGGGCATATCTTATGCTTGTGTGTGGAGATCATGGGACGAAGGTGGAACCCAGGAAGCAACTAAACGCAAGAAGGATGGCGCAGAAGCACAAGTTAACGACCCGAAGATTTAAATGAAGCAGTTGTTGAAGCAGATAATGACATAACTTGCATTTCGCGTGCCGCATGTTTTTCTCCCATTCCTTCTAATTATATAGTATATTTTCCTAAAATATCCTTGTATAACATTAAATCATATACTTTTATAAAGTAAGCAAACTAGTGTAAACAAAACTACAAACATAAAAGACAAAATATGTTATGATTTATATTTGGGATCAAATCAAAACTACTATAAGAAGTATTATATATGATCCATGAAAAATAAAACGGACACTGCTCCATATGTTTATAAAATTTTAGATTGATTATCACTTAAATTATTTAGTGGTTACGATAATGTTAAAACGATATTACATTCAATTTGATGTCACTGATTAAAAAAAAATGTTCTGGTAAAAAAAAAAAAAGGCATACAAGTTATAGGACGAGAAGATTACACTTTAGACTCCAAATTCATCACACGAAATTGTCCAATTTACACAAAATGATTAAGATAATGCGCGAGAAAATTACAACTCAACCTCAGAAAATGTTAATCTTAACCAGTGAACCACACGTAGCCTCTCGCTTTTCATTTGAGTCAAAGGCCGAATGAGCTGGGCGCTATTGGGGCAATATTCAGGAGCGGGCCGAATCATGTGATAGGGCATCTTCTTGAGTGGAGGCGTATCAACTGCAGGCCCATGAAGATATATCATGGGCTTCAAGAAAGTAGGGGCCCGTTTGAGGTTGGGGGGAACAAATGGTAAGGATGGAAGGAGGAGGCGGAAAACAAATAAAGAAAGGAACAAGTTGGTTGATGTTGTGGAACAAACGAATAAAAAGGTGATGAGGCATGTGAGCTTGCTTTGTGGTTGGTGTTGGTATAATAATAATAAGCAGCTTGCAACGAGTTGAAACGCATCTGGGAGAGGCATGGAGTGGTTGATAATAACCAGCACAAACCCCTCATTCAAAATCCAAATCCCCAACAGCACAGCTCCTCCCTCACGCCTCCTCCATATTACCATCAAATAAACTCTCGTGTGTGTATCTCACCTAAACTCCCCACCTTCGGGGTCCCATTATTCCTTACTTTATGGAGCTTGACTTCCAAGCACTTTTCCCTCTCCCTTCTTTATATCTCTATATATGGCAGCATGCTTTCAATAATTCGGCAAGTTTAGGATTGTGCATGCTGCCCGAAAGCTCGCTCAGCCTTGTCCTGCCCGTATTGCTCGCCACCCTGTAATAGTAATATACACATGTACAATAAAGTTTTTTTGTTATTTAATATTTCTTATGCAATACTCCATATGTTGATTTTATAATTATCGTGGGGATTTTTTTTTTATGATTGTATTAAAAGTTCAAATTGATTCTGTCAGTTTAATATTATGCAGAGATAATAAATTAATGTCTAAGCTTGGAGAGGGCGTTGAAAAGTAAATGCGCCAGGCTCACTCGGGGAGTCCACTCCGGATGCCAAGAAATCAACTTCAGGGCTTTGTATTTGATATTTTAAAACGGGGACACAGTTCGGCTCAATTTCATCCTTTGCTCCTTATACACTCCACCTTTCGTTTTCTTCAATGCTCTTCCTAACACAACCGCGAAAGGGATATTTGGCCTCTATAGCTATTCCTCCCCCCCCCCCCCCCGGGGAAAAAAAAGTTATTAGACGTACGTGACGCCATATGCCTGTTCCTTAATTTATTTATGCCAACAGATAATCGATTTCATTAATCTAATTTTTGTTCGCAGCTGAATGGCGGAATCCGTTGTTATTTTCTGTTTGTTATTCTTCTTCAAAAGCTAGGCCGTTCTGTAACACTTGATTAATTTATTGTGCGTATGCCCTCTATACCGTCAAACTTGGTGGACAACTTAATTATTTTTCTTTTGAAGAAAGCCGGCAAGACAGAGATCAGATCGACAGGGAAACACATGTTAAAGAATATTTCAATACGGGATGAGTTAACTTTCCGTGTTCCCTGTTTGATTGAATTAAAAGGCCACGTAGAGAGCCATATAAAAGGGCTCCTCCATATGATCGTGATCATGCGGCGCACAATATAACCTTTGTCGAATTACATAAACTCCCTGTGAGGGCGAGGAGGTGCAGTGTCTTTGTTCTCCTCACTTCAATTTAGAAAGGATGGCAACTGGAAGAGCCTGAACATGGGGCACATTTGTAGAAGCAGTGCGTGGTTGTTCGATTAGGTGACAATGTGAGGTCGCGGGCATGGCTCGCTGTCCTCCTCATGCTCATCCGAAATTTATTGGACGGCAAAAGTGCAGAATATATATGACTCTAATTGCGTGTGTGATTAATTTATGCTAATTTGTGGGCGTAGTTACGGAGGAGAGAGCAGGGTGTGTGTGTGTGGGAGGGGGGCCACCAACAGGGAGCATATTATAATAAGGAGGAAGACGAAAAGGGCGCTTTTGTCCGCATCGTTGCAGAATACTGAATATCATATGTTTCTTGGGGGGCATCCTTATCGCCAGGCGCCGATATCAATATAGTAGCGGAGCGGGGGGGAGCTCTATAGGTGAACAATGCAGGGCATATTCGCTCTGCAGATGAATTGCTTTCGTACGCATTATGTCCCTTAGTTTATCGAGTAAATGAGAAGAGGGGGCGGTGGGGTCCCAACACTGATTAAAAAGTAAGCATCCTCCATTATTGCTTCGGCTTTCAAACCCCCTCCCCCCCCCCCCACACATGCCTCCCCCTTCTGATTTTCGCTTTTGTTATCTGGCAGTCTTGCGGGCGAGAATTATTATGTGATGAGATGAAGCCGGAGGAGGAGTTGAATTAATGGTCGTATAATAGTAGCAGAGAGTGCGTATGAATGGACTATGGAAATAGTGAGAGCAAGTGGAGGAGAGGTGGATGAAGAAGGAATAAACAATGAATGATGTGAAATGAATCATGGATGGGACTGGTGATTAATTAAATTAACCAATTATGAGGGGGGAGAGAGAGAGGGAGAGCAGGAGCCAATGAAAGGAGGACAGGAAGGCAGAAGTTGAGAAAAAGGGCAAAGGTCGGTTAAGGGGAAATGATTATATAGTGAGAGCGGCATCCTTGGGTGAGGAATGCGATGCGTGTCTGACGCCGCCCCTCTCCCATATGGGCCCTGTTCAGTGTTCACCCCCAAAACTAATGAACCCTTCTTCTTTCCTCGGTTAACCATCTGCTGCCCCCGGTCCTCTTGCTCTTATTCCCGGCCATGAATAATATCCGAATAGTAATTGGTGATGGGAGAGGAATGCAGTGTGAGATGGATACAGGTGTCAGAATGGAGTGCGGTAAGAAAGATGCATGATTGACCTATCATTATTGGGAGTAAGTGGTTGGTCCAATCACATCGCTCACTCATGTAATTTTAGGAATCAAGGCTTCTCACTACGTGAGCCGCGAGCATACCAAATCCTGTCCCCTCCTCCTGTTGCCTGTCTTACTGCCAAACCTCGTCCAGCGTTTGGTCCCAGTTAAAAATATTTTACAAAAGGGGAAAAAAAACCAATCCCAACCAAACCAAACCGAGAGGACAGGCCCTGTCTAAATTATATTGATGCTTCGCGGCAGACGCTACAAGACTGGAAT